ACTCGGGAACTCAACTCCTACCCCGGGCAGCTCACCTATCCCCTTATGCCCAGGGGAAAGGTATCAAGCCGTTTGACAGCTGATGCTAGCTGTCAAACCGGCTTTTACGCGAAACAGGCGGGAGGCAGCAAACAGCTGCGACCGACGAAGACGCCTGCCACCGGAAGCTCCTCAGAGAATCAATATTCTTACCCAGTTGCTCACGCTGTTTACAGTCACGCTTAGTTTAGTGCTTTTTGGCTTCGGCTGCATATAGCTTGGGTTAGACTCACGAATGATGCTAGCCTTTCTTCTGTCGGTTTTTGGAGAACTTTCCCCAGACGTCCGGATCAATCACCGTCTCCCCAGGATCAGCAGGGCTTCCCTCCTTCCTTGCCACCTCTCCGGGGTGGCGTTGGGCCCATTTAGGGTCCCCAAACAGAGAGAAATCAGCCATAGGACGCAGATCTTTGCAATCCCTCAGCTGTGGCGCTAGCTGCACAGAATCGGAAGCCCATAAATCTTATTATTTTAAACAATCCAATAATTATAATAATTTAAAGTAAACCAGTTTATAATAATTGCAAGCTGCAGCTACAGAATTTGTATACCATAGAAGAAATTAAATGATAAATTTAGATTGACTTTTAGTATGCAGATCAAGACTGGAAATTTTCTGCACTCAGATGCTAAAAATAATTAAATTGCTAGAAAATTCAATTTGTTTATTTTGGTCACATTGAAGCTCTAACATAAATATTTATTATTTTTATACTGTTTACGGTGTATTAGAGGATTTATAGATGAGATCTTTCTGTAGTGTATGCATTACTTTCTCTCAAAATGTATAATTTCATAATTTTCTCTGATTCATTACAGCAAGCTTGTGGCTTTGAGTATACATCCAAACTTCAAAGGATGTTCCAAGATATAGGTGTAAGCAAAGACCTGAATGAGCAGTTCAAAAAACACCTATCCAATTCAGAGCCATTGGACTGTAAGCAAAATTAAAATGTATTTGTTTTCAAACCTATAAATTAATATACATTTTTATAGATTGGTAAAAGTGAATAGTATGTTAATGAAGGAAGTCTTCTTTTTCTATTCCTTATTAATCAGTGCAATGTTGGACATAAATTATATAAATGGATTTAGGATTCTATCTATCAGTAAGGTAACTCTCCAAAAACAAAATAAGGGACCAAAGTGGGCATGGCAAAGGAAAATTTGTTAAAAAAATGGGTCAATAAAAGAAGGGTTTCAGGAGACAATTTATACTGCAAGCAGTGAAAAGGGTCAAAAAGTACAGCAAATTTTTGTTCTATAAGACAAGACTATGTATAACTTTAGGTGATTTGCCCTGAACTACAAGAGATTCCAACTTCAATTTTTAGAAACTGTCTTATGAGTAATTATACTGCTGAGAAAAAAGAAGATTGGAGTGAGAGGAGTGATTAGAATCCAAGAATGGACTTTTATGTGCAAGACTGTTCTGATATTCATGATAATTTTTTTAACTTGGAAGTCTATTAATTTTTAAATGGTTTTACACCTGGCCTCCAGTTAGGAAATCTCAGATCCCTAGCAAATACCAACAAAAAGGGTAATAAAGTCAGGCTCAGTTCCTAGAACTGTATAGATAGACATATTCAATTTTCTTGGCAATTGTCCTGAACTACTTAACTTAGTTTATATGAACTATAAATGTGGCCGAGAGTTATCATGTGGCTGAATTAAACACGGATAAGATCTTGCAAAGCTAGAACATATTTAATTAAATCAAATACAGGATGCATTGGACATGGAATTGTGCAGTTAATATTTTTATTAGTTGAAATGATTGGATGATATTTGTAATTTACTTCAATTACTCTTGTGTTTGAAATAATTTCTATGCAGTTTTCTCCAATATCTTTTATGAATCTCTGAAAACAATAGACTCTCCTTTTCTCTTTTATTTTTATATAACATTTTCAGCATAGCATATAAATCTGTTTTGTTGGTCAGTGATTGAAATAAAATTAGTGACTGTTCATGTTTTTATACTAGTGGACTTCAGCATACAAGTACTAAGCTCCGGATCTTGGCCCTTTCAAATGTCTTGTGCATTTGCTCTTCCATCAGAGGTGAGACCATCTTACTTTCTAAGTGTATATTTTAAGATATAGGGAGATTGTAATATTCTGGAAGGCTGATGGCAAAGTAGAATCTGATTGAGGCATTAAATCTAGCAATGTCTTTTAAGTCTTATTTAATTTTTAATTTGTGACATACACATACTAATTTCACATACTTAGTACTTAGTACAGTGAGCTCTATTTAGTCCCATCTCATCACGTTAATAGTCTGTAAATTCTGGATGGATTTATTTGAAGGATGGATTTATTGATTTTGTCAATAGATGTCAGCATAACATATTTTATTCTTTTTTTGAGAGAGAGAGGATCCTGATTGTCCAACTAGGACTCACCCATCTTTTTCTGCTTGTACCCGTTGTCATTCACAAATCTATCTTTCACAGCAAAAAAGTGATGCTGAGTACTTTTTTTCTGTTACTCTTTATTTGATGTTGAGTCAGAGAGATAGTTTGGACATTCTCCAGGTGTACTTTCCACTCCATCTAAGCTGATTGTGTGGTTTCAAGCATAGTCCTACAAAGCAATATATCCAGTCTTAGAAGCTATAGAATCAACACCTCCTAATACAATATGCCTGTACACATGATTGAGCAATATGCTAAAGATCTCCCTCCCAGAATAGATCAGCAGGTTATCGGTCCCAAAGTAAGCCTTCTTTGCAGTTGTCCTAACCTTATGGAGTAGTTTGTCTCCCTTTCTATTAAGTTTCTGGAAAGTGGTCAAGATGATGGTCTTCTGCTAAGCTTTAGGAAATAAGGAACAAGGTGAGGTGCAGCTTTTGTCTGATGGTTTTAGTTGCTGATTGTAGATCTTATTTATGGAACTTGTTCATATTGGATTTTAAATCCAATAAATACTATAGCTGCCATGATAATCATGGAGTTACTACACAATTAATGCCTTCATTCAGTATTGTTAGGCTTTTTGAGGATGAAACGCCCATTTTCATGTTAAATTTGATGTTTTTCATATACTTCACTGATGACAGTCTGTTTTATGTCATCTATGTCAAATAGTATTATGCAACACTGGACTCCGCTAGACTCACTAATGGATTTTATGATTGTCAGTGAATGAAGAAAAGAAACCATCAAAGTGCTGTTTTTTGTTTAGGAATTAATTCTACAATCTATTGTAGACAGCATGCTTTCTCCTCAAAAGATACGTACTCAGCTTGAGTGTTCTCATAGCCAGTTCATGTTGAGGTAGATTAACTGGCACCAATTTTTTTTGACAAACTTGGCTGAATAACATCAACAATAATTGGCTCCAATTATTGACTCCGTTTTTGTATTATGCTTAAGACTGAAAATGTAAATATGATATGGTTTGGTTTGATTTGAAATGCAGCTGGAGCGCAGTTATCAGAGATTTACTGCTTTCTATGCAAGTCGTCACAGTGGAAGAAAATTAACATGGTTGTATCAGCTATCGAAAGGTGAACTAGTTACCAATTGCTTCAAAAACCGATATACACTACAGGTAAAGTACATTGTAGTTTGGTTAATAAGCTATTCAAGTAGAATGTTAATAAAAAAAATTTCTGGCACTATATCTTGAATTTGGAAATTTTGCTAATATTTCTATCTTTTAGTAATCCTTTAGAAAAATGCAGGAGGGGAAGGCATAATGCATGGAACAAATGTTATGGCTCACATGTAGATACATTTCTATGCTACATACAGTATTAAAGTTCTAAAACTCCCCTCATCCCCCTCTATGTATGTTATTTGCCTTCTTAATATATGTTTAAATAAGCACACAAAATATGCTGCTAATATATACTAATATTTATTTATTTATGTATTTATTTATTTATAATATATTAATAATGTAATCATAAATATATATTTTCAGTTGTAAATAAGCCACTTATAGATAAAATTCCTTGAATAGTGTGCATGTACAGTATATTCAGAAAGTATTCAGACCCCCTTCACTTTTGTCAATTTTGTTATGCTGCAACCTGATTCTACAATTGTTGAAATTTATTTTTTTCTTGTTAATCTACACTCACTACCCCATAATGACAATGTGAAAACAAAATTTTAGAAATGTCTGTAAATTTATTAAAGAAAAAACTGAAATACCACATTGGCATAAGTATTCAGACTTTTTGCAACAACATTTGGAATTTAGCTCAGATGCCTCCCATTTCTCTTGATCATTGCTGACATGTTTCTACACCTTGATTGGAGTCGACCTGTCATAAATTGATTAGACATGATTTGGAAAGGCACACACCTCTCTATAGAAGGCCTCTCAGATGAAAATTCATACTGTAGCAGAGCAAAAGCCATGAAGCCTGCATACCTCATAGACAGGATTATTGTGAGGCACAGATCTGGGCAAGGCTACAATAAAATTTCTGCTGCACTGAAGGTTCCTAAGAGCACATGGTCTCCATAAGTCTCAAATGGAGGAAGATTGGCAGAACCAGGACTCTTCCAAGAGCTAGTCGCCTGGTCAAACTGAGCAATCAGGTGAGAAGGGCCTTACTAAGAGAGGTGACCAAGAACCTGATGGTCACTCTGACTGAGTCCCAGAGACCCTGTGTGGAGATGGGACAGAGTTCCAGGAGGACAACCATCACTGCAGCCCTCCACTGATCTGGGCTTTATGGCAGAGTGACTAGACAGAAGACTCTCCTCAGTGCAAAACACATGAAAGTCTGCTTGGAGTTTGCAAAAAAGCACCTGAAGGACTCTCAGACTGTGAAGAACAAGATTCTCTGGTCTGATGAAACCAAGATTGAACTTGGCCTCAATTCTAAACGTTATGTCTGGAAGAAACCAAACACCGCTCATCACCTGTCCAATATCATCCCAACAGTGAAGCATGGTTGTGGCAGCATCATGATGTGGAGGTGTTTTTCAGCAGCCCGGACTAGGAGACTGGTCAGAGTTGAGGGAAAGCTGAATAGAGCAAATTACAGGGATATCTTCAATGAAAACCTGTTCTAAATGCTCAGAACCTCAGACTGGGCGGAAGGTTTACCTTCCAACATGACAATGATCCTAAGAACATAGGCAAGACAAAAGAGAAGTGGCTTAGGGATAATAACTCTGTGAATGTTCTAGAGTGGTCCAGCCAGAGCCCTGACTTGAACCCTATTGAACATCTCTGGAGGGACCTGAAAATGTCTGTCCACTAACGTTCATCATCCAACCTGACTGAGCTTGAGAGTATTTGCAAGGAAGAATGGCAGAAAATCCCCCAATCCAGGCATGCAAAGCTTGTTGCATCATACCCAAAAAGACTCGAGGCTGTGATTGCTGCCAAAGGTGCTTCAACCAAGTACTGAGTCTGAATGCCAAGGTGTTATTTCAGTTTTTTCTTTTTAATAAATTTACAGACATTTCTAAAATTCTATTTTCACTTTGTCATTATGGGGTACTAAGTGTAGATTAATACAAAAAATGAATTTCAACAGCTGTAGAATCAGGCTGCAACATAACAAAATTAACAAAGGGTTTGAATACTTTCTGAATGCACTGTGTGTATTTAGCACTCAAATATCTCAGTCTCTTCATTTTTGCTTTTTTTCTTGGTTATGTAATCTGAACATTCACTAGACATGCAGGATTTGTCTATTGAAAATCTGATTAATAGATATTTTTCAGTTTATGTGAAATAGCAAACAATACAGAAAGAATTTTTTGGTCTGAAAGATAAGGTTTTATATTGTTCTATTTGCTTTAATAAATTTCTTCACATGAATTTGGAAATTCATTCAAATAAAAGTTATTTCTCGCTTTTTTAAGGCATCTACATTTCAGATGGCAATCCTGCTGCAGTATAACACAGAAGATGCCTACACAGTCCAGCAGTTGACAGACAGTACTCAAATAAAAATGGTAAAGCTTCATATCATGTTATTATAGTTTTAATTATTGAGGAGTCTTTATTGTCCCACTTACTACATCCATTTATTTCTTCTTTAAGTCTAGAATTGTAATGAGCACAAATATTTTCAATTTTTTCAATTCTTTTTTAAACTACTTTATTAAATTAAAAAAATACAAAAGAAAAGGGATGAAATAGAATCAAAAGGGGGAAAAGTTAAAAAGTGAAGAAAAAAGAGGCAGAGTAATAAAAAAATATAATAGAGACTTCCAATTTTCCTCAATACCGATAGGAAAACTAATATCAAATAATTTCTCTAAGTTAAATATAACATAACTGATATTAACTCTAACTGTACAATATTTCTCTTAAACAAATTTATTTTTTTTCTTGTAAAGTTTTTATTAATTTTTTTTCATACAATTCAATAGTATTTATTCAACAAACGTGTTGTCTGAGTTTATCATTCACTAATACAAATTTAATTCCTAATTCTTTATTCTTTTCTCCAGCCATTGATAAAATAATTCACAAGTTTGAAAGTAATCTGTTTCTTCTTTTTCTTTCAACCTCATAGTAAGTCTGTCCATTTCCACACATTCTAGTATTTTTTTAATTATTTCTTCCTCTGGTAGTCATTTTTCCAATATTGTGCAAATATGATTCTTGCCGCTGTTATCATATGTAAAACCAAGTATATACTTTGTTTATCAATATTTTTTCTGGCATTATACCTAGTAAAAAAAGTTCAGGTGTAAAATCTACATACTTTCCCAACATCTTCTCTAGCCAAGTATATATTCTATCCAGTACCTTTTTGCTTTAACACATGTCCACCATACATGATAATAAATACCTGACTTATGTTTACATTTCCAGCATCTATCTGACATATTTTTAAACATTTTTGCTAACCTTGCTGGTGGCAAGTGCCATCTATAAAACATTTTATATAGGTTTTCTTTATAAGAAACTTGTCAATTTATAATTACTTTCCCACAAATTTTGCCATTTTTCTAAATCTACATTATATCCAAAATTCTTTGCCCATGTTATCATTGTATCTTTAACATGTTCATTTTCCATTTTCAAATTCAATAAAAAGTTAAAGATTTTTTTAATTAGTTTCTCATCAGAGGTTAATAATGTCTGATCAAACAAGGTCTGCTCTTTATAAAATCAGTACAGTTTAACATCTTTATCATTTGTAAGTATGCCCACCATGATAGATTCATACCCTGATTTTCCATCTCTTGTTTAGATTTTAGATTCCCTTCAGAATTTAGAATATCTCTATGTCCATATTTTCTCAAAATTAACTAAATTTGGATGTACAAATGCTTTCATTGTTGAAAGCCATCCTGGAATTTTCAAGTATATTTTACATTTTATTTTTTTCCATGTTAGTTGTAATGCATTTCTTATATAGTGGTTTTGAAAATACTTATGAATTTTGTTTTTCCCATACCATAAGAAAGCATGCCAAACAAGTTGACATGTCCCTCCAAATATAATAACCTTTTATTTCTAAGAGTTATCCATTATTTTACTCATGTTAGTATAGATGCTTGATAATATAAAACCCACTCTGGCAAACCAGAACCTCCATTTTCCTTAGCTTCTTGTAACATTTTCAATTTAATTCTAGCTTTCTTTCCTTGCCAAATAAATTGCAAAATTAGTGAATTTAAATCTTCAAAAAAAAAATTCTCTAATTTTATAGGTATCGTTTGAAATAGAAACAATATTTTTGGTAATATATTCATTTTCACCGTAACAATTCTTCTAACATCGACAGTTGCAAGTTTTTCCATTTTTCCAGATCCAGTCTTATTTGGTTCAGTAATTTTATATAGTTATCTTCTTTTATTATTGAACATCTTGCTGTTAAATATATTTCTAAGTATTTAACCTTTTTGACTATTTGTAGTTCTATTTTTTCTGACATTTGTTTTTTTGTTTATCTGTAAGATTTTTAACTATCACTTTAGTTTTTTCTCTGTTTATTTTCAGTCCTGCTATCTCTCCATACTCTTCTATCTTTTCCAATAATTTAGGAATCATCTCTAAAGGTTCTTCTAAGATAAATACCAAGTCATCTGCAAATGCTTGCAGTTTATAAGTTTCACCTTTTATTTCTAGTCCTTTAATTTCTGTATCTTGCCTAATATTTCTATTTAGAACTTCCAAGGTTAGGATAAATAACAATGGAGATAGTGGCCATCCTTGTCTTGTACCTTTTCATATCTCAAAGGTCTCTATATAGTCTCCGTTTACAATCAATTTTGCTATTTGTTTGCATATATCGTTTCAATCATATTTATAAAGTTTTGTCCAAAGTCCATTGTTTTTAGTTGTTGAGTCATAAATTGCCAGGAAACATTATCAAACACCTTTTGAGCATCTAAGAATACTAGTGCCAGTTGTTTCCCAGGATGTATTTCATAATATTCCAATATGTCCATTATAACTCTTAAGTTATTTTTAATTTGTCTTTTTGGTAGAAATCCATTTTGATCTGGATGTATAAATTCAGTTAAAAATCTTTTCAGTCTCCCCACTATTATTGAAGTAAAAATTTTATAATCCACATTTAGTAATGATATTGGTTTGTAATTTTTTACAACGGCATACTTAATGTATCTTGTAGGCATTTATACAACTCTGCCAATAGCCCATCTGGTCCCGGTGTTTTTTCATTTTTTTTGTCTTATAGCTTCTGTCAATTCCACCATTGTTATTTTTTTATTTAACATAGTTTTAAAGTTTTCTGAAAATTTTGGTAAGTTATTTTTTTCCATATATTGAACCGTTTTCTCCCATGAAATTTCTTCTATATCATACATTTTTTCATAGTATTTTTTAATCATCTTTTTTATTTCTTTATTTTTAAATTGTAAACAGCCTTTTCATCTACTAGATTATTTATCAGTTTTTTCTCCTGTTTTTTAAGTTTATAGGCTACTCATTTTTGTGTTATTTGCATTTTCAAAAAAAATGTTGTTTTGCTCTTTTAATTTGCTAAGCCAATTTTTCTGATTCCATTAAATTTAATTTATGTTTTATTGTTTCCATTTGTTTTTTCAGTATTTTCTTTTGTGAATTTATTTGTAATTCTAATTCTAATTTTTAAATTCTTCCCTTAGCAGTGTGTGTTGTTGTCTTTTTTCTTTGTTTTTTTCGCCATATATGTTATAGCTACACCTCTAAAGTATGCTTTGGCTATATCCCATACATTTTGTAATGTTGTATCTTCTTTTTTATTTTCTTTAAAAAAGAACTCTTGTTGCTAGTTCTATAAATTCTTTTTCTTTTAATATGGATTTGTTCAAGGTCCATCTTAGTTTTTTTTTTGTATTCCTTTCCATGTCATCTTTAAAGGATTATGATCTGTCCATGTACCTAATTCTATCTCAATCTCCTGCATATTGGTTCTTAATTCAGGCGTCATCCAAAGCATGTCAATTCTGGACAGGATTTATGACTGTTCGAATAGAATGTGTATTGTAGTTTTTCTGGGTTAGTTTCTCTCCAGGTATCTTGTACCGCAATTTCCTCTATCATATTAAAAAAAAGTCTTGGGTAATCTTTTTCTTCCACTTTTTCCTGTTTTGCCACTTTTATAGTCTAATGTCCCATCTACTATTGCATTAAAGTCTCCTACGAAACAAATATTTTGGTATTGCATTTCTATTATTTTTCTATGAAGATTTTGATAAAATTCTTGTTTATTATTTGGTGCATATATTACTACTAAAAGTATTTGTTTTTGATGTAAAATTATTTCTACCATCACAATTCTTCCTTCTTCATCTGAATAAATCATTTTGGAGTCTATTGTCTCTTCAACGTATACAGCTACTCTTTTTGTGTGTGTGTGCTGATGCATAATAGAGTTTCCCAATTTTTGAGTAGTTCAAAAGTTTATAGTATTGGTTTTTTTATGTGTCTCTTGCAAACAAATTATATCAATATTAAATTTCTGTAATTTTTTAAAGATTTTTTTGCTTTTTGATGGAAAGTTCAGTCCATTTATATTCACTGAAAAGATTCTGTTTTCTTTCTCCATTTTGTTTACTTATATTTAGGTCTTGTCGATCTTGTGCTCCTCTGTTCTCTTACCATTCCATCACCCTCATGGTCTGGCTTCTCTTTCTCTCCTTCAATTTGTGTAGCTGTTTCCTCTGTTTGTTCTATCTGCTTTTGTTCTTTTCTATCCTCTTGTTGATGTTGTACTTTTTCATCCAGGAATGCTCTGTTTCTTTCATAAAAGTCTTCTGCCTTCCAAACTGAATCCAGTCGATATCTTGTATTATTCCAGTTGATTAAGATCCCTTCTGGTATTAACCATCTAAAATTTATTCCTTTGGCAATTAACTTTGTGGTCAAAAAGTTATACTGTCTTTGGGTATTTCTTATTCTTTTAGGGATCTGCTTCAACACCACAATTCCTTTATTTTTATATTGTAATAGTTCATCTCTGATGCTTCTCAGTATCTCATCTCTTATTGTTTTCTTTATAAATCTTACGTGGACTTCTCTGGGTAATTTATATTTCCTCACATAGCTTGAATTCATTCGAAATATTTCATCTATTTCCATTTGTATCTCCGCTCTTTCTATTTTTAGGGCCTCCACCAATAGATTAATGATCACTTCTGCTATATCTTCCTCGTCTTCAGGTATATTTTGGAATCTTAAATAGTGTACAGCTTTCTCCATTACCAAGCTTGCAACTGTTCCTTCTAAGCTTTGGTTTGCTTGTTCTAATCTTTCATTATCTTGCATTAATGCCTCCATTTTTTATCAGTTTCTTCTGATTTATTTTCCATTTTCTGAATTCTTTGTTCATTTTTAGCAATCATTTGGTGATGGGCATCAAATTGGGCCTTTATATCCAGCATTTGCTCATTCAACTTGTCAAAATTGGTTTTTGACTCATAATTTTTCTATATTGATTCGTTAATTAACTGTAATGTGGCTTGCATCTCTCTTTGAGCACTATTTGTTTTTTCTTGCTGCAGCATTGTTTCAGTAGATCCCTGGCTTGCTGGAGTAGGTGTTCCAACAGAGGGTGCAGAGGAAGTTTTTTCATAAGTTTAATGAGATTTGGTGCACTCATTTTTCAATTGAGTGAGTTTTATAAATCCACAAGGAGAAAAAGAAAAAGAAAAAAAAAGCCAACTGCCTTAGGCTATAATCCAACCATGAAACAAGCCAACTGCTTTAAGCTGATCTAAATGTTCCAGTTAGTTTAAAGATGTAAAAAGCCCTCTGTTTCCAAATAATTTCTATTGTGGTTATATCCAGGGTCAAAAGATATGATTGTAGAATGTCTTTTCTAGCATAGAGTCACATAAAATTCTTTTGTTTACACCAGATGTTGTTTCAAGGTCAGGAGCTTTCCAAGTTCTTTTAGTATTTTGGTATTGTTGAAATAATTCCTTTCACCACTATATGTCCTTATTTACTGTATTATCTAAGTCCAGGTTTAAAAAGTTCTTTTTATTTTCTCATAGAAATTAAATATAATTTTTTTTCACATCGTTAGAATTAACTAAATTTTCTTTAAATCAATCCCAATTCCATTTTTATATATTTTTATTTTCCTTAATTTCATTCCCCTGTTTATAATTTCTTGCCACTTTTAACTCCCTTCTTACCAAATCTTTCCAGGGTCTTTGCTTTGGAAATTTTTTCCAATCAGGGGATCTCTATTTCCAAGTCCATAAGGGAGAGGAATAAAAAAAAAAAGTCTCACCCAGTTCTCAACATGTTGTTGACAATCAGCTGTTCGGTGGCTTGCTGTGGCTCTTCGCTTTTTTCCCGATTGTCGATTACTTGGGCTGCCTGTGCCTACCAGGCAGCCTTTCTTCTGTCCGTTTGAAGAGGTTCCTTGGTTCGTTTAGACCAACTGCCATCTGGTCCAAACTCCCAAAGCTTCCCTTCTTTGTTGCCTCTCCAGAGCAACTTTCTGGCCCCTTGGGGTCTCCAGACAGAGCGAAATCAGGCTAAGAAGCCGGAGCTCCACTTTCTTCCACCCATCTCGTCATGACATCTTTGATCTTCTCTCCTCTTAAACAAATTTAGTTATCCAATCATTAATTCAAAAATACTTATCCATTACTATCAACCAAGATTAAAAAAAAATAATCTCCAGTTTAAAAATAAACTGAAACAAAATCTTAAAATAACCAAAGTAGTCAGTTCCAATATCTCAATCAATTCATTTTCCCAATCCACTCTTTTGTTATTAAGTTTTACATTTCTTTCATCTCTGTGCATGTTGCCTCATTAATGTAATCTAAAATAATAATAATAAAGTTCTATATTTCTTCCAGTCTTTTCATCCATCATAACAATAAATTTGCTTTCAAATTTAAATGTGAAACAGATTTTAAGTCTTTATGTTTGAATGTTAATTTACAAATGTTAATTATGACTAACATCCAGAAAAATTATTATAAATAAAGGCATTTGGGTGGATTCCCAGTGACAGGAGAATAGAATTTTAGTATCTGTCAAAAAATCCTTGATTTTTTTTTCTCATGTCTAGAAAAATTTAAATATCATACAGCACAATTTCACTTCTCTTAATATTACATTCAGCCAATCTGCTGAGTATTTTTCTGTTTAAATGCAGGTTAAACTAAATGCAGTGATTGTATATGTTCTTCACTATCCTCTGCAAAGCTTATTAACTAGGGAACAAATTAGGCATTGATTAACTCAGGTTTTTTTTTACTTTTCTGATTTTTAGGATATTTTGGCACAAGTACTTCAGATTTTGTTAAAGTCAAAATTGTTGGTAAGTGCTTTTATTTTGGGAGAGTGGTGAAATAATTTGTTAATATGTTCTGACATTGCTCTTTTTTATTTTTCATAGGTTTTAGAAGATGAAAACGCAAATGTTGATGAAGTGGAATTGAAACCAGATACTTTAATAAAATTGTACCTTGGCTACAAAAAGTAAGAATGATAGTTGAATAAAACTATCTAATCAGAATTGTTTTTCTTTAGGATAGTAGGGTAAAGGTCTGTATTTATTAATGATTGTAATAGCATATTTGCATTTCTGTCAGATTACTGTTCCAGCCAAAGCCTCACAATTCTGTATCAGTTTTGTTCACACTACAAATGAATGGAAACGGACTAGGATTAGATCTTGGCTTTTTGAAAGTTTATTAATAAATAACTTGTGATGCTGTTCTTCAATGTAAATCAAGTCTAGAATCCTGTCATGTTTCCATAGTAGCCAAATTTTACATTTCCTAAAAAAACATAAATTAAAACTGCAGTAGTTTCTGGATGCGAAAATTATATATACAAATTGTAAAATAACCATGGATTAGCAAAATGGACTTGTCAGCCGCATACTGAAAATTGAAGTCCAAATAGGACGTGCATGAGATGAATTTGAAATTCCCATTGGATTGTCTAAAGCTTCAGGATTAAAATCAGTTCATGATAACTGCTTTATATGAATAAAGATTGCAAGAGTTTGAGTAACATGCAAGAAAATGTCACTGAATCATTGAAATTCTTCACAAACCATTTTGCTTAATATACTTACATAATAGATAAATGCCAGATTAACAGGCAGCTTTCAGAAAAAATAAAAAGGCAGGACATCAGTCAGGTAACAAAAGAGGTATAAATGAAGAGAGCAGTTGTATATCCTTTCTGTTTTGAAAATAGCAAGGTAACACTATATTTATACACTAAATATAAGAGGGGGGACATGATAGCAGTGTTCCAATATCTCAGGGGCTGCCACAAAGAAGAGGGAGTCAAGCTATTTTCAAAAGCGCCTGAAGGCAGGACAAGGAGCAACGGGTGGAAGCTAACCAAAGAGAAAAGCAACCTAGAACTAAGGAGAAACTTCCTGACGGTTAGAACAATTAACCAGTGGAACAACCTGCCTCCAGAAGCGGTGAATGCGCCAACACTGGAAGTTTTTAAGAAGAAACTGGACAGCCATTTATCCGAAATGGTATAGGGTTTCCTGCCTGAGCAGGGGGTTGGACTAGATGACCTCCAAGGTCCCTTCCAACTTTATTATTATTATTATTATTATTATTATTATTATTATTATTATTATTATTATTATTATTATTATTAAAAATAAAGGAGACAGTGAAAATTAGCACAGTAAAAGTGAAAAAAAAATGGTATACTGTTAAATATCAACCTGCAAACTTAATAAAGGTACTGCTGAGAATCAAGAAGTCATGCTTTTGGTTTCTTCATTAATGAAGATTGATAATGTGATAATAAACATTCTTCTTTATCATCTCTATAAAAGTTGATTATAGAGGAAAGTGATCACAAGTTGGGATAAGATTCTGAAGGATAAGGCCATTTTTATGACAAAAATCATAATAATTAAAATGTATGCATACATATGAATGGTAATCTATGGCTGTGGAAGCTTATATCCCAGGAAAAAAGATGGATGCTTTTTAATTGAGAGCCTGGAGATAGGCTTTAAGTTAGAGATAAGGCCAACTCAATAGCACCAAACTAACACACATGAATAAAATAAATGTAACTATAACTTTTTCAAACCTACATCTGAAGGCAATATTTTTAGATAATTCAGTGGTTATGACTGGTTTTATTTGTATGTAATTGGCATTATTCAAAATAACTTTTAATTTACTAGATACCATAAAGATTGCTATCAGTACATATGTTTATTGGAAATATTTGTTTCAGTTGAAATTGATGGAATGAATGTGGTCACAATGGAAACAGTATGCTTATTTTGTGTTTTTAACCAGATGCTTAGGAAAAAATAGGAGTTTAAACAATGGATAGGTCACAGTCCAATTTTAAGATATCCTGTTTGCAAGCATTAAATGTAAGCCTGAGAAATAAGAAAAGATATAATTATGGATTACCCAGTGCAGCACTCAACAGAAAAAAGACTCCTGCCTTCATTAAATTAATTATGTTGCCTTTCACAACATGTTTCACCATAGGGTTTCTGTAATTCTTCATTTCTGTTTTGTAGAGCTAATTATTTGCCTAAATTTTCTTGGCAGCAAAAAATTGCGAGTGAATATAAATGTGCCAATGAAGACTGAACAAAAGCAGGAACAGGAAACAACACACAAAAATATAGAGGAAGATCGGAAACTCCTGATCCAGGTACTCGGGAATTTTAGGTGGCTAGCAGATTATTTAATAGTGCTGTTAAACACAATTTTTTCCACAATAGTACAGGTAATCCCCAAGTTACAAATGTTCCCTTAGCAAACATTCAAAGTTATGCATTAAGCACCCCCTAGTGTTTACAAACAAGTCCTGAAATTACAAATGTTGCAGCATCATAGCACTCTTTCACCCTTATGAACGACTGCAGAGGCACTGCAACATTCGCCCTGGCTATTCCCTCCCCCCCTCCCCTTGGCTGGGTCTCCTTAGGTACTAGGTCTGTGGATGCTCTCCTTGCGAAGATCTAGGGAGTCTTTGTTTCTTGGCCTGTTTTGCTGCTTCAGGCCTTTGGTGTGTCCGAGAGAATGGAGGTCTAAAGTACTGTAAGATCACATGAGATCAATAGCACGAGATTTCATGCTACTGATGTTGCATGATCTCATGGTATTTTAGGCCTCTGTTCTCTGCAAACAGACCTAGATGAGATCTGTGGCAAAACACTTTGCAAATGGAGAGAAGGCGTGAAACATCTAAGCCTTCCCTCCATTTGCAAAGCCTTTTGCCATCATTGCAAAAGGCCCCTGCTGCTGAGAACGGATTCCCAGGTTGACACAAGCATCATCCCCGGCAAAGGCTTTTCCTCAAAGCCAGAGGCTGGGAGCAATGCACACGTAAATCTGGGGCTCCGTTTTCGTCAGCAAAGGCCTTTTCTCAAGCACATTTTGCATGGAGACTGGAAGACTGAAGTCACATGATATCATGCCCCCCCCAAGAGCTTCCAGTCATGGCGCCCAAAGTGTTTGCAAACTGGCCAGATGTTTTGAGGCAGCGATTTCGCTGACCCAAAGTCTCCCATCAGCTTGCAAACATTTTGCGCTGAGAGTGAAAGGTGCTGGGCACTGTGATCTTGTGTGGCAGAAAGGCTGGAGAGGAGACAGCTCGGTAAATCTTCGCAAGGTACGTGACCCAGTGTAGCAGGATGGGAAGGGGAACCAATTGTGCGGAGCATAGGTATCTTATTGGGTCAGGGGAGGCCTTGGATGGTCTGAAGTAGGTGGCCTGTTCCATCACTAGGCCCGCCATAGCCTTCCCCACCCTGGAATACCTCATGCGCTTAATGAACTGCACATTCGATTAGTGTGGGCAAAGGCAGGGAATGATCGCGTTCAAGGTATGCCATTCACTCCTACGAATCCTTGAGTTAGGAATGGAATGGGCAGGCTCCATTATATTCATAACTCAAGGCTTACCTGTAAATACTATTTTTAGTAAGTTTTTATTGCTAGCAGTGTGGTAACTGGCCATTGAAATCCTCATTTCCCAGTCATATACTAAATATGCATCCACAGGCTTGTTTTCTTGGAAATAATTTAATCATCTTCATGAAAATAACTTGAATGTGCATATAGTATTTGGATTATTGGTATGGCATGATCTACTTAGACTGGTTCTTGAGATCCTCTAGTTTTCCTCATATATGCTGCCTGAGATATGTTTCAAGTACAATAAGTGGTACTCATTGAATAGCCATTTGTTCTGCATGTTTGCACTTACTATAGCACTGAATGAGTGTACCTGAGACTCAACAGTATTCTCATGGTCATATAATCATAATTTGTAATTATCACTCCTACAAGCAAAGTCAATGGCAACCACTTCATGTTGTTTTTAATGAGGTCTAAGGAGTCACTTAATGATGTCAATTGGACTTGATGGAATTTGCATCACTAAACAGTATGGGCACATGATATTGCACTTTTCTGATGGAAATTCCGGTCCAAAATATCACTATTGACTATCTGCACACCTGAAAGACTATATTGATAGTATTCTCAGCATCCTATGAATAAAGTTCAGTTTTATTTTGTGTTGGTCCAGCCAAGTTATCTAGTGGAGTTTTACCATGTTGTCTTAGGATGTCTGAGTCTTGAAGAAGTGCACATGTTTTCGGTGTGGGAGCTGTCACTGTGTGGTTACCTGTCTATTAAATTCTCATCTGTCATGGTTGGCTAAGACTGCCCAGGAAATGACGTAAGAGTTGGTTGAAGTGACAGACAGTTCATCCTGGAGGCTGTCTTGAAGGAGGCTCTGGTGCTTTCTTCCTCAAACAACCGTCACTAGATACTTTTCAACTGGTCTCCAATAGTCATGAAAAAGGTGTAGAGATTACAGCTTTAGAATGTCTTGGAGGAAAAAATATTTCTTCCTGGCTTATTAAGGCTGTGTGGGAGGGGATGTGAGATTGGGTCTGGGCTATAGTTAACTCATCCTTGAAAGAAGGAGTGGTCCTGCTAACTCTAAAAGAGGCGGGGTGCACCCCCTTCTTAAAGGATCATTGCTCAAACCAAACAAGTTTTCATTCAATTTCTAATTTTTCCCTTTTAGGGAAGATTGTGGAGAGAAGGTCACAGGGCAATCACAGAGGATCCTGAATGAAGTAGATTATCTGGATCTCCTTCAGTCAGGGTTCAGGCAACAGTTTGGGATTGAAATAGCATTGATTGTGGATAACTTCAGGCATGAACAGGATGAAATGGTGTAATCCTCCTGACTCTTCTTGATTCTCAGCAGCATTCAAAACAAACAAACAAACCCTGGTGGATTGTGATATTCTACTGTGCCAGCTCCAGGAGCTGAGTTTCAATGGCACTGTGTTGTACAGGTTCTCCTCCTTCCTATGGGATCGATGTCAGTCAATATTGATGGGGAGGGAAAGATCAAGTCTCATTTCTCTCTCCAATCTTATTTAACATCTACATGAGGCCACTGAGTGTTTGGGGCGAGATATCAATATGAAAATAACACCCATCTCTATATCTCTAGTCAAGGCCCCTTGAATGATGCTGTAGAGATCCTATTCCAGGGAGCTGCACTGATTGCTGCTGCATTTCTGGGTGCAATTCAAGGTGCTGGTTGTCTTTTAAGCCTTACATGGCTTGAGACCAGATTACTGGAGTGACTTTTTCTAAGAGTCTCTACCTGTGCAATTTGATCCAGCAGATTAGACGATAGCCCCTGCCTTGTGGAATATTCGCCCCACAGAGATTAGATTGGCTCCAACCCTGCTTCTGGCCTTTTGCAAGGCTTTAAAAACTTAGAAATGTACCTGCACCTGAGTAATAACCCTGGCTGCTCTTTGCATTCATTTTCTGGATGTTTTACTGTTTTTGTTTTATAATTTTAGGATTGTAAACCACTCAGTTACTTGATTGAATTGAGCAGCTATAGAAATAGAACAAACAAATGAATAATTAATTAATTTGGACAATTTACATTCGGGCTTCAAACCTGTATATAATGCAGAAATTAAAATAATCATGCTTGTGGAATTTTCTTGATAGGACTAGGAAATGAATAGTGATTTTTTTGTTCTACTTGATCTCTTTTGATGGCAATTGATCATATCTTCTTTAGGGATTGGGGTAGGGGACCTCCTTTCTCTGAGGTGATTTTCTGTTGATGTTTGAAAAGATGAGATTAAGCCTGATATATCTTTGTTGCGATCCTTTGTAGGGTTTGACACTTTTCCTGCTCTTATTTAATAAAGCCATAGAATAGGATCATTGATGGTAAGAATAATGATAATCAGTTGAATATTGTAACCCTTGACTGACCAAATGAAGCTGTCAAATTTCTGTCTTGGTGCTTAAAGGTTATTAAGGTATGGATGGATTGGAAAAGGCTTATAATCAATCTTAGTAGGCTGAATGGTTGTGGATTCATGCATGTTCTGTTTGAATTTTTATTACTATGTTCTGTTTGCTTGCTTCTTCAGAATCCTTCTCCATTCCTTTTTATCTCTTCATCCTTGGACATTTATAGAAAATGAAAAAAAATTATAGTAGCACCATTTTAAACCATTTACACCATTTTAAAATTTATTTGAATTTTATTTCTCTGACCCAAAGCATCACCTAATTTGACATTTGTATAATTCATTTGCATGTGTATTCTGATCAAAGTTGCTATTCTGTGGCCTTATAGAACTGTTCCTGGCAGAAAAAAATCTGTTTTCCCTACAATGTTTGATTGGTATATCAGAGTGCCAGAGACACACTATTATATCTATATAGGATATATTTAAACGTCTCAAGATTTAAGCTAGCATTGTTTATTTTTGTTGTGAAATGGCCACAATCAAATGACATACTTGCTAGCATTCATCCATCTTTGAAATAACAATCACCTCTGTACACCTTCAATGATTATAATAATGACTAAATGATTAAAATAATTATTAGCCTCCGATAGCATTTGTTGATCAAGGATTGGGCTTTAAGTCTAAATTTTGTGTATATTAGGCTGCTATTGTGAGGATTATGAAGATGAGAAAAGTCCTTAAGCATCAGCAGTTGCTTGGAGAAGTGCTTACCCAGCTGTCATCAAGATTCAAACCACGAGTCCCAGTAATAAAGGTTTGTCTAAAGCAGCGGTCTCTAACCTTTAGTGGTATCATACTAAATCAAGCTATTAGGAGAAAGTTATAAGTTAAACAGTGTCAATAAAAAATTAAATAACTTCAATAACATGTTTATGTTTAAACCTTACCACATAGAACAGTAGTTACTGTTTTATAAACAAACTCAACTTTTTAGCCATGCTTGTACTTCAATTCCCTTTGAAACCTCTCTACCATTCTTATTAGGTGATAAATTCAGTCCTTTATGCAATATATGTACTTTATGAATCTTTTGCTTTTTTAAGATTTTTGATACTAACAGATAATGGTTACCAGTTAATATTAATGGTAATTAGTAGTTACCATTTCTTTTGGCCTTTCCCCCTGTCATTTTTTTTGTTAGGTTAAGAAAAGTTTTGTTATTTGTTTCACTGTGTCTTTACTAGATAAATCATTGTTAAAGCTTGTTAAACACTTAGAATTGGTCAAAAACATCTCAGAATAATTGTTTTTCTTTCTATTTTCAGAAATGCATTGATATTCTAATAGAGAAGGAATACTTGGAACGGGTGGATGGTGAAAAGGACACCTACAGTTATTTGGCTTAACAGTTTGTAGCAGCTGTCTGTGTCAGTCTTAAATTGTAACAAGTTTGAAAGAGAATAAAACTTGTTGATCTGCTGCTGTCTGGACCTCCATTTTTATAATTAAGACCAGGACTACCATCTGCCAGTCCTAGAATTACATCAGACCTGCTCAGGATTGATACATTTCAAGTTTGTACATATGGACACCAATGCCATTTAATCTAATTTAAGAACAGAATGGAATCTGAAACCTTCCCCACTGGAGGTTGCATGCTACTGCATTTAAATCAATACATTGACTATACAAAGAAGAGCTGTTTCCCCAGACAGCACTTACACGCATTGGCAGCACTTTGAGAGAATCTGATTTGGGCACATGTGTAATCTGCTATGAAAAATCATTTGTATAGTGTGCTTCATTTTTTAATGTGCGATAAATAAAAAATTAAAAATTTCTGTATAAGTTGCATTTGGTTTATTGTTAAGTTACATGACTTTATCTTTCTTAAATGTAAATGAAAGGAGCAATGAATATGAAAACCAAATGATCTGGGTACTGTTTTGCTTTCAGTATTATCTCTAGTGCCACCAAGTAAAACTTCACCAAACTCAAATCAGTCTTGATCCATTTCCTTCGAAACAGAGGGAAGGAAAAATTAAGTACAGGTAGTCCTCAATTTGCAATCACAATTGAGCCAAACATTTCTGTTGCTAAATGAGACATTTGTTAAGTTAGTTTTGCCCAGTTTTATGACCTTTCATGCCACAGTTATTAAGTGAATCACTGCCATTGTTAAGTTAGTAACATAATTATCAAATGAATCTGGCTTCCCTATTGACTTTTTTGTCAGGTTACAAAAGGCTATCACCAGACCCTGGGACACTGTGATCATCATAAAAATGAGTCAGTTGCCAAGTGTCTGAATTTTGATCATATGATTATGGGAATGCTGCAATGATTGTAAGTGTAAAAAAGTCATAAATCATTTTTTCCAGTGCTATTGTAACTTCAAACAGCCACTAAATTGTAAGTTGTAAGTTGCGGATTACCTGTATTCCACATATAAGAATATTTCATCTACACTTTATTGCTAAATAGTACTCTTAGTGATAGGAAGTTATGTGCGCTCATATTTAACATCTAAAATAGTGGGAATATTGGTTCTAACATGGGCACTCTGCAGGCTGACATTATTCATTAGGGATTCTGTTCTTTTGTGTGTGGGGGGGTGTATACACACACACACACACACACATATATACATACATACATGCTATATTTGTGACTTTTTATAGTTCACTGTAAAAAGATGAATAAAGTTCATTAGGACAAAAGAAAATAACTAAGTTTAATTTAACAACATACAGCTCTTGATGTAAAAAAGCTAGTAGGATATAATGGTTAATATACTGACCCAAAAGCAGGTTCTAGTTTTCTGCTAGACACAGAAGCCAGATAGCTAACCTTGGATCAACGGCCTTCTCAGCCCAAATCAAGCATGTCAGGCAGGTTCTGTGATAAACTAGCTGTAAAAACAAATCCCTTGTCACATGTGTTGGTAAGATTCACAGTAAAGACTAGGTGAGCATGCAACTAATTGGGACAAACACTAAAACTGCTCTTGTGGTAAGGTGATCTTTATGGGATCAACAAAGTATTAAATTTTTCACAGGTATTTTTGATTCAAGTTTTGTTAAATTTGTAACGGATTTCAAATATATTTACATGTATACATTCAAGCCAAGCCTTTGTTTAAAGATGGCAACATACAATATGAATTCAAAGTTCAAGTATCCTTTATTCAAGGTTCAAAAAGTGTACCACACTGCATTATTGTAAAAGATCAATGGTACAAAACATGTTGCAGCTGGTGAAAAGGCATTAAAAAGTTGATTTTAAAATCTCAATATAAATTACAGGTACAGTACTTTGCAAATTTTGCATTCCAAATTGCATCAATTCAGTTTTTAAAAATAAAATTGCCCACAGTAGTAGAAACTCCTGAAGATAAGGCAGCTGTCTTATAGGCGAGGTAGTTGGTATCAAGGGATTTCCATTTCTCTTTCAATGCCTACATACTTGAGGGCGTCAGCCTGACTATATCTAAAACAAAAAGAGAAATAACTTGCATAATTGGTTTTAAAGCAAACTGCCCAAGAATAATCTTAAAAAGCTTTTGAAAAGCTTTTCCAAAAGAAAAGTAGGGGGGGAAAGATAAAGATATAAAGAAGTGGCTTCCAATCTTCTTTACAGCAGTTAAGAAATACAAATATAATTTTAACTTTTCTCTAAGGTGGCATCATGACTCTCTTTTCTGTAATCTATTCTGCCTAATAATCAAAACCATAAATCATTAGTTCATTTTTTATTTTTTTACATAAAAAGTCCACAAAGGGTTTCCAGTCACCCTGAGAATGTATAAAAAAGCATACCAAAGAAATGAAATCAATTATTCCCACGTCCAATAATTTATGAAGCTTACAATGTAATAATTCTGACTACACATATTTTTTGAAATTGTTTATTGATAAAAGCTAGTAAAGATATTCTCATGACTTAAATATTCAAATGTATTAGTACCCCGATTTAGGTTTTAGCATTATTATCCCTACCTGTAATCAAAAAAGAGTTCTTCACCAGTCTGAATGGCTCTCTTAGCAAATATTCCTATTCTGTGATCTCCGTTAACCATCATAACTGTAAAAGAAAAAATGAAATTAGAGGAAATGTTTTACAAACATCTTCTGTTTCAAAAGTATGTGAGTATACTCCTGTATCGGTATTCACCTTTTGCATAGCAGTTGGGATTGACTGAATGGTTTGCAAATCTTATTTTGTTACCCTTCCGTGTTGCATCAACCACAAAATCTAAATAAAAACAACAGATAAATTCACACTTGCCTGAAAAAGTAGGAAATATAGTAATATTCTTAGAAAAAATGTCTTATTTTGCAGGTAAAGCTTTGTTTATCTGTCACTTGAATAATTATGCTTCAATTACTGACTTGGCTTACAAACCTTCCCTGCATTATAACACATGATATATTTTTATCTGTATTCTATCAGGTATCATACATAATATTTAAATGCTTTCTGTAAAATATTATGGGTATTTTCATCAATTAACACTTTTCTAGTTTTCATAAAGTATCATCTTTGCTGCTCACATATCCTACAAATTGGTTTTTTACCATAGTTTGTTAGGTTTTCAATTCCTGATAACATTTAACATTAAAATATTTTTCCATTATTAAGAACATTAAACATTTCAAACTTAAAAATCTTTGCAATTCTGATTAGGTGACTGGAAGCAGCATTAGTACTGTGGCCAATATTTGAGATAGGATGTGAATAAAGTAGAATAAGGTTAAAGACAGCAATACACATACCGTTATTCAAATTGAATAGAAAGCTGCACATGTATTTATCATAGACTTTCCCTCTTCTGTCTGCTTCATCCTGAGAAATAATCTGAAAATAATATTTAAAAGATGGTTCTGATAACACCAGAACCTATTTTACTACTCATTCCCATCCCCTCTTTCACTTTTAAATTTGCAGAATATTTGATTCAGCAACTTAGAAATTATTACAAATAAACTGTTCTAATATATTCTGTGCAACCTTTTATCTATGACAGGGCTTCTTAAAGTTTGATACCATAACCTCCCTCAAAATTATAAATGATTGTCTGGATTTCTTCTCATAGATAAAAACTACTGAATCGGTTGGAATTAAGGTTGGGCAAAAATAGTCATTGAGCTTCACTAGCATGTTATATTTCTACAGATTTTCCAGATGCAGGTAGTTCTGGAGTTACAACTTTAACTGAACTGGCCCATTAGGGTTGGAAGTCAGGACAGACATTAAATGAACTGCCTCAAATAATGACCAACCATCCCTGCTCTCCCAGAGCATTCGTTAAATGAACATGCAGGTCGTTGAATGGAATATGGCTGTCAGGAGACTGCAAGCAAGCAAACAAAAATTTTCTACAGCTTTTTGCCTGCAGAACACAGGGCAGAAGCTGAGTCCTTGGAGTTTTTTGCTGTTTGACTGCCCTTACAATGCAGCTATGATTTGTCTTTGGAATCCTAGCTGGGTTCTAAAGCCAGACACAAACACTGGAGGAGTTCTGGCTGGATCCTAAAGAGAAGCTTTTTTTCGTTTTCTTAATTGAAGAAAGGTGGTTTTCTGAGGGAGAGGGAATTAAAAAGAAAAACTTTGGGAAGCTCGTCCTGAAGTTGCTGCCTTTGCTTGCAGGTGCTGAAATCCCAAAGCCTATCAAAAACCAGGAGAGATTTGCAATTTCCTGATGGCCACCTGATCAGTTCCGATTAAGTTTTGAAAGCAATTGCCATTTCCTAGAGGAATTGCCAGAGTGCTGAAAATGGCAACTGCTTCCAGGAGGCATTGGGAACAAGCCAGGTGCTACAGGGTCCTGTAGGGATGGGATGGGGAGAGAGGTAGAGAATTCTGCAGCATCCCCATGGTTGGTATTAAGGGCGAATGACCATGGGTGCTGTGGCCATAGTAATTTTGAAACAGTCATATGTATGGTATAACTCATAGCTTTGAAGGTTAAGTGAACTTTCATAATTCAAGGATTACCTGTATACTATTATACACCACACCAAAATCACTAGCCAACAACAAACCTAGAAAAGATCATTAAGCAATGGATCTGTGAACACCTAGCAACAACAAATTATTAAGAGCCATGGTAGCACAGTGGTTAGAATGCAGTATTGCAGGCTAATTCTGCTGACTGCCAACTGCCAGCAGTTCAGCAGTTTGAGTCTCACCGGCTCAAGGTTGACTCAGACTTCCATCCTTCCTGATCGGTAAAATGAGGACCCAGATTGCTGGGGGCAATATGCTGACTCTGTAAACTTCTTAGAGGGCTGTAAAGGCACTGTGAAGCGGTATATAAGTGTAAGTGCTTTTGCTAAGTGGTATATAAGTCTACTTGCTATTGCTAATGTAAGAACTGCATTCTTGGACAAATGTCTAAATTAGTGTATCAAAGAAATGCTGTAGATGTAGATTACTTAGACTTCAGTAAAGCATTTGATAAAGTAGACCACAGCCTA